AGATGGATTTAAGGTGTAGTTTAGGAGTAGGTTAGATTTGCCGTTTCAAAAATAATAATAATAATAAAATAAAAAATAAAGGATAAACAGTTTGTCTATAAATTTTGTAGTTTGCATATTTTTTTGTTTTTAAATAGTTTTTTAATAAGATTTGTAAAATGGTATACCATCACACTTGCGTAGTTATTCATTTTTGTTTGGTTTGCTTTAAAATTATCTTCAATTATTGAGCTCATGCATAAAATTTTCAATTTATTGCATCATTTTCCACTTATTTTATCAAATAAAATGATATTAGGTAATATTTTTTATTTCCGAATATTGGTCGATTAAATAAAAAAATTGAAACATTTAATTTAGAGCATCTCCAATAGTTAAAATATATTATGATTTAATATTATTGACAGATCATCATTCCATAACATTTAAGCTCTAATTAAATGACATCTCCAATAGTTAACCTCTTCCCATAACTTTTTCTTTAAATTCAAATAATTTATTCTTATCTATTTAAAATATTCTACATAATCCTTTCTATTTAGTTAGTCATTTTTAAACACATTATATTTTAATACAAACTATTTAATAAAAATATATCATTATAAATTTATGTTTCATAAATAAAATATTATTAAATATTTGATAGAATTAATTAAATAGTAACAAATAAATTAATTAAAAACTAAAATATACTTAAGTGGTAAAATAAAAATATGAGTAGAAGATTAGGGTGTTGAATATATAAATGATTAAACTATATTGACTATTCAATATATATTGAATTTTTTTGGAACCGGCAAATAGATATATAAATAGAAAGCAACTTCTAGCAAGTGACTAGAAGAGCAATAAAAGTTACAAACAGCAGAAAAAGATTACAGACAAAATAAGGTACATTCACACCATTGAGCCCACACCATATTGGTTCTATTTCTCCTATTTTTAATCCAAAGAAACGTAGTGGATTGGATGATATCTGCACAGTTGGAAGGAGGCAACCGCTTCATGTTGAAGATTCTATCATTTCGGGCCTTCCAAATGCACCAAAGTGAAGCGTAACATATTCCCAGAAGCAATTTCTTTTTTTGAGGGCAGTCAAACCAGTTGTTGGCATAATCTATGATATCGTATACCGTTTGGAAATTAGATATTGGAACCCCGCACCATTTCAGAATGCAATCTAGTACCAAATGGGCATACTCACATCCAATTAATGCATGATCGGCACTTTCCTCCATGGTCCCACAGTGACTGCATAAATTAGTCTCCAAAACTACCCATCTGGATGATAAAGCAGTGGCTGAAGGGATTTTACCCATTCTTGCTCGCCAAATAAAGCACATCACCTTAATTGGAATTTCTTTTAGCTAAGTAAACTTACCATTAGCAATCGACGGACTGAAATCCCAAAGTTTCCTTAGAGCATTGACAATGAAAGATCCATCCGAGGTGAGACTACAGTGCAAGTAGTCTCTAATTGGGTCTTGCTTTTTGGTTAGGATCTGTTCAACTGGAATATTCTTCTTTACCAAATCTTTTCTAATGCCCGCAATGTTATTCCATACGCCAGGTAGAGTATTACTCGCATAGCAGTTATCGGGTTTCGATCTTAAATTATGCATTCCAATTATTGCTTCTGCCCAAATACTTGTGGGCCCTGATCGTAATCTCCACCACCATTTCATGATTAAAGAAACATTTAGAGATTTGATTGTACCTACACCCAGTCCACCAGCATCTTTGGACGTTGTAACCTTGTCCCATGATGCCCAATGTATCTTTCGGTTACCTTCGGAGCTTCCCCACAAAAATTGTCTTCGGATTTTTTCTATTTTATCTATCACACCTTGCGGTGCCACAAAAAGTGAGAGATAGTAGGTCGGAAGATTTCCAAGGACGGATTGCACAAGAGTTAGTCTCCCCCCGAACGATAGAGTTTTAGACTTCCATTTTGACAGCTTTGCATGGAATCGGTCAATCACTGGTTTCCAGTTTTTTTTAATTTCATATTCGTCCCGACTGGGACCCCGAGATAAGTGAAAGGTAATGTGGCCGGCTCGCATCCCAGCGGTCTAGCAAATCTCGACACCTCCTGCGTGTTTACCCCTATCCCAAACACCCGAGATTTGTTGAAATTGACCTTGAGTCCGGAGGATACATGAAAACAATGTAGAATTCTGGCAAAAAAATTTATGTTTTGTTCCGACCATTCACCTAGGAACAGGGCATCATCGGCATACAATAAGTGAGAAATTGAGGGGCCATCATGTGGTATTTTAAGGCCGTGGAATACTCCCCTATCACAAGAAGCCCTCATAGCCACACTTAAACCCTCCATTGCGATGATAAAGAGGAATGGGGAGAGTGGATCACCTTGTTTGACTCCTCTCGAGATGGGGAATTCGTCAGTGGGGTTCCCATTGACAAGAACCGATGATTTTGAAGAGGCCAAGCAACCGTTGATCCAACATCTCCATTTATCTCCAAATCCCATGGCTTTCATGTTTGAATCTAGAAATTCCCAATTAATCGAATCAAAGGCTTTGTTAAAGTCAACTTTGAAGAGTAAAACATTCTTTTTTTCCTTCTTTGCCCATGAACATATTTCATTAACCACCAATGGACCATCGAGTATGTTTCGACCCTCCACGTACGCGGATTGTACCTCGTCAATACAACTTCCTAATACCCTCTTGAGCCGATGAGCAAGTATTTTTGCTATGATTTTGTAAATGGAACTGATTAGACTTATCGGTCAGTAATCGCTAAGCATGAGGGGTTCTTTGATTTTGGGGATTAGAGAGATGAAGGAGGATTTGCAAGAAATATCAAGTTTCCCGTATCTCTCGAAGTGTTTGACCACCGCAGCAATGTCACCAAATACAACATCCCAATATTTTTTGAAAAACTTAAATGAGAATCCGTCTGGGCCAGGAGCTTTCTCGTTTCCACACGCTCAGACAGCAGCTTTAAGTTCTTCCAAAGTGATCGTGGCTTCCAACACATCATTGTCGATAGGTAGAATGCGTTTGAATTGGCTGCTAACCAGCTTGGGTCTAGAAGGTCACTTCTCCTTGAATTTGTCTGCAAAAAAGTTGAAAGCTTCCGACTTTATTAACATCGGATCGGTACACCAAGTATCGTTGATCATAAGGCCATCAATCCCATTTTTCTGATTATTATGATTGACATGACCATGAAAAAAACGAGCGTTTTCATCCCCGTCGACCGCCCACTTTACCCTTGATTTTTGTTTGATATCTAGGACTCTGAATTTCTCCAACTCTACAATAGATTTGAAACTGTCCCGCCTTGAGTCAATTTCTTGTGGTGTAAGAAGTCTAGATTCTGCCTCGTGGTCCGAATGTGCCATAAATAAATGAATAATAATAAGCTTTAAAAAAAAAGTCTCATTAAAGATTCTTACACTCATCCTTATAAGATATTTTATAAAGACACCCTCTAATTTATAATTTTAGCATATATAGTATCTTTATAAATAATAACATTAAATAAAATAAAAATATTACAATACACAAAACTAAGATAAATACTAATAAATTTAGAATTTATATTTCGGTTTTTCTCGTTCCACAACGTTGCATATGTAATTATGAAAAGAAACAAACCATTATCAATTTAATATTGATACTGACAATCAAAACAAATAAAAAATGTTAAAATACAAAGTTTTAAAATTTAAATTTATTAGAAAGGTTAAAATAAAATATTATTGAAAAAAATGGTTGTGTATAAAACGTGAAACTTCAAAAAGTATAAAGTATCTTAGGGGTGTTTGAGATTGCTTGTTTAAAACAATTTATGCTTCTTTATAAAAATGTTTATTAGTTTTTTTATGTCAAATCAAAGTTAAAAATGTTTATTAGTTTTTTTATGTCAAATCAAAGTTAAAAAAAATGTTCAAGATTAGTTTATTTGGTATCAAAATGCAATAATTTTATAAGTTGTTTTTTAGTGTATGAAAATTTTTAAATATAGATGCAAAATGAACAATAAAGGCTAGATATATATAGACATATAAGTACAATAGAGTTAATATAGTAAATTGATTTAAATAAGTTATAAGTTATTTTAAATAAATAAGAACCTACTAACTTATTAAAAACTCATTATTTTACTCACTTTTAATTTTAATCTATCCAAATACTAAAAAAGAGTAAATTACATGATTCGTCTCTCGTCGTATGGTTAAATTGCGCGTTTAGTCTCAATTTTCAAAAATTAACTCGGACCATCCCTGTAATTGTTTTTTCATTTAGACCGTCCTTAACGGACATAAAATGACTATTTTGCCCTTCTCAGTTTCTTTTCTATTTTTCTTATTATTTGTTTTCAATCTATATTAATAAATAATTGAATAGTCCATCATTGATACCCGACCCACCCAAACCCACCCAACTCTTTTGAACTTTCAGGTAGGAAAGAGATATAATCGTCGGCCATCCATCGCCACCACCTAGTACCGTCTCCGACCACATATCACCACCACTAAAACGACCTCCATTGGTACCGACAAAACCCATACACCTCTCACACACTTATTCTCCTTTTCCCCATGTCACCTTCTTCACCAGACATCTTTTACACTCCCATTCTCCCTTCGACCTCTATTACATTCTCCAAATCAGATCTCTTTGAAAGCATGTAAATTCGTTTGATGGTTCAAAAAGCACTAAAGAAGATGGAGTTCAACAATTGCAAAAGAAGTGGTGGTGCTCCGGTGGGAGTTTGATGACGATGTATAGTGGCCATGATGGTGGTTAGTCTCGCTGAGAACTAAGGAGGGGGACCTATGGAGTATCGGTTATGGTGTTGGATCCCGATGGGGAGGAAGGCGACAGTGGTGCAGCGACTGTTCCTGGCGTCAGGGAGGCAGATGGGCGGTGTCGTCTACACTGATGGGGTTGCTTATGTTACCAACACTGAGCTAGGGTTTAAATTTCGAAGGAAATGGAGAAGAAGGGCAGAGGAGGCACTGGTTAGTTAGGGTTTTGGTTGTTGTCGGGAGTAGGGAGAAAGAGGGAGACGACGGCAGACGGTGTCTTCAGTACGTGCGAAACACAGGTGATGGTGTGTTCTTGGTGATGTCGGAAGGGTGTCATCAGACGCCGGAAACCTTCCTCCTCTCCAATTTGAACGCTAGAAACCACCTCAATCCGTCGGAAATCCTCGATCTGAAATTCGACGCCATGAATTTGGAAACCATTACCCATAACGTCCAACAACCCATATAATTTGTACTTCTTTTTCCTTCTAGGTTCGCTAGTCGGAGGTGCGGCGATGGTGGTGGGCATCTGTCAATGACAAATATGCGATGGTGGTCGGATTTGAATGGATAAGAGGTGGTGGTGATGGTGTGGTTTGGGAAGGCCGAAGGAAAAGGGGAAAGGGAAGGGGAACGAGAAGATATCTCCAACGAAGTAATGCTCTTCTTTTGCTCTCTCCCAGCAGCTCCGGCGACGGCGATGATATCTCTGGCGACCCATTTTTCTCTAGCTCCGGCAACACAAATAGAAGATACAGTGAAGATGAAAGGATAGAGGGTTATGAGTGAGGTTAGGGTAGAGATTGTGGGTTTGTGGTGGTAGGCATTATTTTTATTTTTCTTTTTAATTGTTAATAATAAACAAATCAAAAAATATATTAAAAAATAAAATAAAAGGGTAAAATAGTCATTTTATGTCCGTCAGGGATGGTCCGAGTGAGAAACAAATATTAAAGGAACGGTCCGAGTTAATTTTTGAAAATAAGGACTAAACGTGCAATTTAACACTTGAACGAGGGTCGAATCGTGTAATTTACTCTACTAAAAATAACTTATTAGCAATGTCAAACCGCAATAAGCAAATAAACATCTAAAAACTCATTATTATTTGCTTTGAAAATCGGATTGAACCAGTTAGTTAAACCGGGACCAGTCAAGTTACTGTATTTTCATATATTAAAAAAATGGTTACACATATATACTACTCCTAATTAGGTTGCCGGTTTTTTGAATGCCAAAAACCGCCTGTATACAAACCAGTGAAATCAACCGTACAAAAAGCTAGTTCGTCCATTACCAGCTCAAGTACCTAAACATTGGTTTTAGGAAATAAGATGTTTTTTTTTAAGTTAAGTTTCCTATAATTAAACCTAAGATAATTTCATTGGAACTTTGTATATAAAATAGAACGTTTTTTCTTGCATCTTGCTTTTTTAAAACTTAATTTTAGAGGAGTTTTTGTATATATATTTTTTAAATTTATAATATTAAAAATAATTATGATGTAATAATGATGTCATCCAGGTTTTCTTCCGACCATTTGAAACTGATTGAACCATCAAAACCATAAGATTGGTCGACCGAACGTTGATCTATTAACTTCATAAGCAATTAATTCTAACGACAAAGAAATAGTAAAAAAAGAAAACTTCTCGGGATGTTCTAAGAACCAAAAAAACCGATGCTTGAGAGCTAACCTCTTGTCCTCTTGCTTATAATTTATTTATCTATTTTTTGGCATTTTTCAAAAAATTTCAACCTTTAGAAATTACAACACTTACCTAACATTACTATGAAAGTTTTTTATTGTCGAATTACTTTAACGAAATCATAATGGTTGATGCCACACATTGGTTACATCATATAGTACTGTTAATCGTCTATACTAGTGAATGTGAAAGCGACATTTTGGAACTTATTTATGTTCGTAGTTTATATAACTTATAAACAACTAAATAAGTACGCTTTTCGTTGCGTCCTACATGGGCAAGGAATAAATTTTATTTACTCTTAAGAGTTTTAAAGTTGATGATAGGGAAAGTTTGCCCAATCAAAGCCCAAAACTCGAAGCCAACTGGCCCAGACATACATCATTACTTTGGGGTAGGCATGCACAAACCGGTTTTTTTTTTGAACCGGACCGGTTCAAAAAACCGGTTCGGTTCTGGTCAACGAAGTCAAAAACCGGTTCACCCCTAAACCGGTTCGGTTTCAAACCGGTTCATCACCAAAATAATTCGAACATATACAAACCGGTTCGGTTCAGTACAAACCGGTTCACCTCAAATCGGTTCACCATAAACCGGTTCCTAAACCGGTTCAAAACCGTTTCGGTGAACCATTTCAAAAAAAATCGGACGGAATTGCTTCTTTTTTACAATGTTTGCTTTGTTTCTTAGGATATCATGGCTAATATATGCATCGTTAGTTTGTAAGAACGGTTCAAGACCGGTTCAAGACCGGTTCAAAATCAGTTCAAAACCGGTTTTCTAGACCGGTTCAGCATAAACCGGTTCAAAACCGGTTCGAATGGCTAGAAGTCCTAATCACTACAAACCGGCTGTTCGGTTCGACATCGGATCGGTTCAACAGTGGACCGGTTCAAGGGTGAACCGGTTTTCGGTTCGGCCACCGGTTCGGATTGTAAACCGGTTTTTTTGTGCAAGCCTACTTTGGGGGTCCTTGGAACAAAAGTTAAATTCTAAATAATAATCATATAAATAAATTTAATTTAATTTGGAATTATAACATATTAAAATTTCAAAAGAAACAACAAAATCTGAAATGTCTATATCGTTTATCAAAGTGAAATCCGTTGATTATTTGTGTTTTGTAATTTGCATAAAGATTATGAAGAGTAATATAGTTATTGCTGGTTAATCAACTATTTATTTTGATCCTATGAGGCAATAGTTTTTTGATACAACAAATCTTAAACTTTAAGTATGTCAAAAAGTCATTATTAAAGGGAGAAGATGATAGTCTTTTTACAAAGGCATGCTGCTATAAAGTACTAGAATTAAATTATAAAGACATACTTAATTAAAGATTATTGCTTATGTTCTTAACATTGTACCAACTAAGAAGGTTTTAAAGATACCTTCTGAAATGTAGAGTGGGGTTCGTCCCTCACTAGCACATACAAAAGTCTGGGGTTATGAGGCTTTCGTCCGTCGCTAAGCACTTGACAAGTTTGAACCTGAATCAGAAAAGTGTTTCTTTATTGGGTATCCCGATAAGTCCTTTGGATATTTATTTTACAAACCCTCTGAGAACAAAGTATTTGTTTCTCAAAGAGCAGTATCTCGAGAGAGGGAGCTGATATCTAATGGAACTAGTCAGAGCCATATTGATCTTGATGAGATTCAAGAGTAAACCAATAAAGAACATGGAGTTGGCCCTAACACTCAACTAGAAGTTGAAATACCTGTTGAATAATTTGAACTTACCTCTACACCATCCTCGTAGATCTGATAGAGAGTGTCGTGCTCCTGAGTTTTATGGTTTCCATATTACTAAGGGCTATGACACACTACTTGGCAAAGATAAGCTAAATAGTTATCAAGAAGCCATGGTAGGCCCCAAAGGCTGCTAAATGACAAAAAGCGATGGAGAGCGAGATTCAGTTCATGTATGATAACCAAATTTTGAACTTTTTTGATCCTACATCTATCATTAAAATCGTTGGGTGTAAGTAACTCTTCAAGAAGAATACCTATATTGATGGGAATATAAAAACATTCAAAGATTGACTAGTTGCAAAGGGTTACACTCGGACTCATAGAATTGACTATAAGAAAACGTTCTAGCCAGTGGAGAGGATTAAGTTTATTAAGATATTGTTTTGCCATAGCAACATTTCATGATTATGAAATATGTAAAATAGATGTAAAACCGCTTTCCATAACGGAAAACTCTCATAAGATGTGTATATGACACGAACATAAAAGGCTTATACAGTCTAATTATCCTAATAGAGTGTGTGAGTTTGAGAGTTCCATTTATGGACTTAAACAAACATTTCATAACTTAAATCTTTGTTTTGTTGAGAAAGTCAAAGAGTATGGATTTTCGAGAAGAGAATGAGTCATGCTTAATATATTATAGCTAGTAGGAGCGTTTTGTTGTCTACCATGTATTGTATGTCAATGACATACTACTCATAGAAAACAATGTCCTAACATTGCAAAGTATAAAAGCTTGGCTTGGTAAATGTTTCTCTATGAAGGACTTGGGGGACGAAACATATGTACTTGGTATAAAGATATATAGATATAGATCTAAATGATTAATTGGGTTAAGCTACAGTACATACTTAGATAAGATCTTGAAGAAATTCAAGATGCAATATTCTAAGAATGGTATGGTGCCTACGCAACATGACATGACATTGATTAAGACTCGGTGTCCGAGTTCTAATGAAGAACTATAAAGGATGAGTCCATTCCCATATGCTTTTGCTACATGATCAATCATGTATTCCACGCTATGGACTCGGCCCGATGTTTCATGTGCCTCGAGCATGACTAGTCGTTATAAGAAAACCTAGGCAAAAATCGTTGGATCGCAATCAAGAATACTCTCAAGTATATATTGAGGGCGAATGATATGTTCTTGTTCAATGGTAGTACAAAGAACAAAATGTAAAGGGTTACACTAAAGCCAGTTTCCAGACAGACCGAGACAATTATCATTCACAGTCGGGATTCATGTTCTTGATGAATGAAGGAGAAGTAACTTGGTGGCGTTCCAAGAAAGAGATTGTATCAAATTCGACGACAAAGTTAGAGTATATATGAGCTAACTGTTTTGGTCAAAAATATACAAAGTAAATATAAACCAAATTAGTAAAGGTTATGGTATTGTAATCGGGATATTGGATAAGATTCCAAGATACAAGACAGAAGAATTACGAGGAAAGCCCTTGATCTCGATTGAGATCTACAACATAAAACCTCTAGAGTCAGAAATATTCATGTTTCCTTTGATGTTTTATTGAATAATCAAACAAGTACGAAGTAGTGTGAGTTCTATTATAGATTAAAAGCAAAAAGAAAGTGTTCGTGTGTGTGCTTTTGTGACATTAACCGCTAATTTATACAAAGATTTCCGAAAGGGTATAATTTATTGTTGTATTAGGTGTCTAAGCCATTAACTAAATTATTTTAAACATAAATTATTAGCAAAGTCCTTTTGGGTTGCCCTCAAACCTAGTAAGAGACTGGAATGCTGTTTGGAGAGAAAGAGGCTGATTTATTAATTTATTAAATGGTTAAAAAATTAATTATAAATAAAAATAAATAATTTTTTAATATGTTTTGAGAAAAATATATTAATTCAAAATTAAATTGTTTAATTATAAATTACTCAAAAATTAATTGGAATTAATTTTGGGATTAATTGGAATAATTAAAAGTGGAAGGACCAAAGGTGACAATGTTCAAAAGTTGAGAATTGGAAAAATTCTAGAACTTCCTAGGGTTGGAAGAAATATAGGAAGAGTTCTAGATAGTTTCTAGAGCCTTTCTT